ATTATTATAAATTAATTGATTTAAAAAAACATTTTAAATCAATTAACTTATAATATTAATGCTCTGTAAATTTACATTGAGCACTATTTTGTAAAAATAAAAATATCGATAAGAACACCGGATTATATATCTTACTGTTCTTTATATATATATATATATATATATATAATCAATTTATATCTATATATATATATATAAATCAATTTAAACAAACACACGATATTGGGCGTAAAAGGGAGGAGGAGGTCAAGAAGAAGAAGAAGAAGAAGAAGAAGAAGAAGAAGAAGAAGAAGAAGAAAATGCATCGGTGGGGGAGGGAGCTCTGATATGTAAGCAAGGACTTAAGACTTCAAATTTCCGGTTTGTTTTCTTCTTCGATTTCCTTCTTTTCTTCTTACTTTATTCTCTTCTTCGACTTTCATTCTTTACTTCTTCCTTTGTTGTCTTCTTTGATTTTCATTCTTTTCTTCTTCATTTGTTCTCTTCTTCAATTTTTAGTTTTTCTTCTTCCTTTGTTCTCTTCTTCGATTTTCATTCTTTTCTTTTTTCGTTGATCTCTTCTCCGATTTTCATTCTTTTCTTTTTCATTTATTCTTTTCTCCGATTTTCCTTTTTTTCTTCTTCTTTCACTTTTCCGGTATTCCTTCTTTTTCTTCTTCCTTTGTTCTCGTCTTCGATTTTCCTACTTTCTCCTCTTCCTTTGTTTTCCCTTCTGTTCTCTTTCTTTCGTTTGTTTCTTTTTTCCATCTTCCATATTTTCCTCTTCCTTCCTTCCTTCCTTCCTTCCTTCCTTTGTTTTCTTCTTCCGTTTTCCTTCTTTCCTTCCTCTTCTTTCTTTCTTTCTTTCTTTCTTTCTCAGTCCACTATCTTGATCAATGTGTTATCTGTATACTTGTCAAGATGACCAACAATTTCACTACCTTCATTCTTGTCCCTGGTGACTAAGGTCCTACCACCATTACAATCAGTCTATCATCTAACCAGCCTCACTTTCATTATGACTCTCTTGCCAGTCAGTCTGTCGGTCCATTACCATAAAATGCATATTATTTCTCATGAATGCTATTAAACATTGGCGAAAGGATGCATCACCAATAACTAAACTTTTATCACAAGTAGCAATCATTAGACACACACAAATACGAGAAATGTATTTATTTTCTCAGTTCCGTATTCTTATTAGTCCCCAGTCAAAAAAAATTATAACGCTATAATATATAAAAGTGGACACTGAGTTTCTGACCAAGCGGTGACAGCCTGTTTTATGCTTTAACACAATCTTCAGATCGTTAAGATTAATGAACGCTCACCCCTTGACACCTTTGAAAAACAACTAATAACTTACTATATTCTATTACTAAAACCACCGTTGAAAATAACAGGTATATCGCCCCTCCCAAGTTACACTAGGGAAATAGTGGTTATATTCAAAGCTATTTACTGGAGATGTCCTGAAGTTTGCCTTTAGGCATGGAACAGTCTGTTTGCCAACGCATGATGTTGACCTCTGTCAACTTTTAGATTTACATATACTCTATCTCTGATATTTAGCACTTTTACCCATAAATAAAGCAGACCTTAAAACTATTATTTATGTAAACTTTTGTAACTTTGTATAATATTTATGCATTACACCTTAATCTTTATTCAGTAAACATTTCATTGCTAATCATGCATTACTTTTTAAGTAATACACATATTTATGTCCTTTTTGTTTCCGTTCCTATATATTATGGCATTGTATATATATATATATATATATATATATATATATATATATATATATATATATATATATATATATATATATAGCTGACCACTCGTATTCGAGAATACCTGGCTACTAGGGCAGCTAGCTACTCCCTACTGCAGACGCTCGCTCAGGCTCATTTGTGTTTGCTCAACACCCACAGAGCCCACCTGTGGTTTATACTGAAACTATGCTGAGCAGACCTTAGTTACAGTTTCTGGGAGAGAGCGTGTTATCAATAATTTGAACAAGGCCAGCACGCTCAAACCCTCGAAGGCCCACAAGTGTTCCGTCTACCCAATTTCATTCACAAGGCTTCGGTCAACCTGTGGTATGGTTTTCAGGCACTTTCCAGTCCGACAAATCGACCATGGTAAGATTCGAACCCAAGTCTCATGACCAGAATCATTTGGTTATATATATATATATATATATATATATATATATATATATATATATATATATTAGCTATTTATAGTTATACATACATGTATATATATATATATATATATATATATATATATATATATATATATATATATATATATATATATAAACCTCTATCACCCCATGCAAGGCATTAAATCAGCTAAAACACAAGGGGTGGTGAGGAATTAGGTGCACAAACATTAATAATGAGCGAGAAGAGGAAAGATTAATCAGGAGGATAGTAGATAGCGATTGACATAGCATTGATATTTTTACAGATTAAAGTTGGCTGAAAAGTATGGAGCCGGAAGTGAATTCCAC